TGCAGAGCTAGAAACTCTGCAGCACAAATGGTAATCCCAGATATCAGGTATGGTGGTGTGCGCACAGTGAGCCCAGCTCTGGAGAGGAGCGCACCAGAGGATAATGGTGTGAGCAGGAATCAGCTATTCACAGGACTGTTTGCCTTTGCCCGCCGTACAAATGATATAAACCAGAAGTAGCTTGATACAACTCATGGTGTGATAAGGCAGGTATGAAGGCAAGTTTAGTTTCATGCTTTTTCATGCTTTCCTTTCTGTGGCCCAGTGACTTTCAGCTTTAGGCTTGACCCTGGGAATAAATTGCTTGCTATAAATAGGTGGGCAAACAGTAGGAACTTGGAAGGCGTGTGTTGGCTGGAGTATTTTTTACAGCTTGCACATCTGTTTATATGAATAGCTGCTGAGCAATTAAGGTAAGGAGCAATGCATTCACTCTTACAGGCACAACTCGTGCCCAGTGAATAATATTCATAAGGGTATTGTACAGTTAAGCCGTAAATTGAATATACAGCTGTGTGTGATTAAGTGATCAAGCTGTGTTGTCACAATTTGCCACAATGTTATACATCCATACATTTATACTTCAGCATGATCTGATTGCATGTATTGGTTATTCCATTGAACACTTAAGACTTGTGTACTTCTGGAGAAGGAAAAGTGGCTTTAGCCTATGGGTTAGGAAAGAGACAAGAGGGGAGGTTAAAGCCAGCAGCACTCTCAGCACAGGATGTCTCAGGGTGCGCCTTGTCAGTAAATAATCACTGCCAGTCAGCAGGCTGCCTCTTGCTATATAAGTTAGTGATTAAAGTGTTAACTGGAGCCTCGCCGTAGGTGTAACCATGAGTAAGGGAGCGCTCCTGTCAGCTCGGAGGAAGCAAAGCGGGTAGGTAAATATTCCCAACATGCACCGAGGTGTGGGGAGTGTCCTGGGCTTCCAGCATTCCCAGTTTAAGCAAAATAGTCATTTAGAGCTGTGTGGGATCCATGGAGTAGCAGAGGTAGCTGTCAGGCAGTGCCGTGCTGTCATGCCTCTTCCAGGGCACGGTGAAAGGGCTGTGAAACTCCTCCTCTGCTTCTCCTCAGATGTGCAGGTAAGTGCAGTGTGAAGCTGGAGCGGTTCTGCGTGCTGTGTAACCTGCAGGGTCAGGAGGAAGCCAGGTCCTTCGCAGCCACCCAGGACTCCAGAGAAATTCCTGGCGGGTAATGAGGGTGCCGGGGGGAAGGAGAAATGTTCGGTCAGAAATTCTTGTCAAAGAAGTTCCTAAATCTCAGAGTGGCTTGCATGAGTCAGGGCTGTGATTAAAGCAGGCAGATCACAGGAGTGCAGCTGCACAGTGTGTGCATGGGCATGAACCTCCGCTGCCCTTCATCCAGTCGCGGGTGTGATTTAAAAGGTGGTGTCGGTGACCTTGTCGGTTCCTTCTGGTGGGTAAGAGCTGGCTTTCCTAAGCGACCTGAAACAGAAAGTCACTTTTTCCCATAATAATGGATTACTTAGTGTTTGAAGTAGATTTGGTGCAAGTCCTGCTCTGTCATCGTTGTTTGTGCAAAGGGAGGGAGTTTCTCTATCTCCGTCTTTGGCACTTGGAAAGCAAAGGGGCTGCATTCACTGATAAATACCAACTTAGTCCTGGTTTTGGTAATCAAAGCCCCTTCTGAACTTGCTGGAGCAGAGGGGTTACACTGTGTTTTGTAGTCAAGTAGTGCCGGTACTGCTCTGTACTGTAGTAGATTATTTTAAAAACAAAGTGTAAAGGAGTCTGCAAAACAAACAAAAAACCCCCTTGTTTTCAGTGGGCAAAATGCGAGCGTTCAGAATAACTGCTTGCTTTTGATTAGATGTTTGCATTGGTGGAGAGAACATCTAACTTAAGCAACCAAAGAACCATGAAGGCTCATCTAACTGTAGCAAGTGACTAGGTAAAGGCAATTATTCTGCTGAGACTGAATTTCTTATGCCTGTGAGTAAATTCTAACCTCATTTTTATAGGAAAAGATAATGGTCCCAAAACTTGCTAAATACTGGGCACTTCAGAGCATAGAAAGCCAGGCAGGTGTTTATCTGTGCTGTTGTGCCTGCAGCGCAGAGCTCTGTGCCGTACAGAACAGGAGATGTGGATGTTGTTGATCACAAAGCTAACGACAGCTGAGCCGTGCGGTTTCTGTAAGAGAGACTGGGGTCGCTTGTCCCATCCTGTGCTCCTGTGGTTTTGGAACAGCTTTGGGAAGGACCACGTCCAAGTACTTTGAAATCTTTGGGGGGATTGAGTGTTGAGGTTTTTCAGTAGTAGGAGCTGTGTGTAGCACACTGCTGCTCTGCAGTGCCCACCTCCAGCTCTGGCTGTGCCAAAAAGCGCATCCAGGCTGTTCCAGCCAAAATAAATGGAAATGCTGCCTTGCTGCTCCTGCTGGGCTTGTGTCTGGATGGCAGGTGTGCCTCTGCTGCCAGGCTTCCTCTGCACCATCCTCCTTTAAGATACTGATGGAGATGCCTGTCTGACACTAAGCAAGTCAGGAGATGGGCATATATGTGCTGATGGAATAACTAGAAAATTAACACATTTTTAGTTTCAAATGAGAGGGAACGATGGAAAAACCCCAGCTCATTTTGCCTGTTTTCTTCCTTAAAAAAGCCACAGGGAAGTGACATGGAAAACAAACTATTAAATACTGAGAGGTGCTAGAAAGTGTGCCAGTTTGGGGATTTATGGAGTGCTGGTGTGAATGTGCTGTCACTTGTGGTGTCACGTAATTGTGCTGGGGTGGACACTGTGTTCTCAACTGGCAGACTTCAGGGTTCACTGGAATAAGGACTGTGAGATGTGGGTAGCTGAAATGTGCCTTGGATGGGTATGTGGAGGAGAAGAAGAAGAAGAGTTTTATCTCTCGGGTGAGCTGGCCGTGCGGAAATGTCCTGTGGGAGCCTGATAAGCAGAGCTGCTCACAGCAGAGGGAAAAGTAACCAGGGCTTTTTGTGCTGTGGTGCCAGCTGTGGGAGAAAAGGCCGGGCTTTGGCCAGGCTGATGGGGCAGCGAAGGGGAGGAAAGGGAGAGGTGTTGGTGAAGAAGTGTTTCCAACACCAGCCGGTCTCCCAGCTTGTTTCATTTTAATGGCAACCAGCTGATTTAAGACAATTTTAAGAGCTATTCACTGTGTAACAGAACAGGCAGCTCAGTGTTTTTTTTTTTTTTCAAAGATCACTTCTCTCAGTTTGTAGAGATCAGCTTTTTCTTCCATATGAATCATTTTAAGGTCAAATTATGCTGATAAGAATGTAGCCATGAGCGATGAAGCGATGCTAGATCTTGCTGGAGTTGCTGCTCTGTTTAATAGCGGTGGCTTGGCTATCTGCACTTCTCAATGTGCTGTTTCCTGACTGGAGTAAGCTTCAATGTACATCCAGTTACTCAGGTGCTAAGGTACATAAACTCCTCTGCATCTTTTAAAGTGGGTTTGAAATGAGATTGACATAGGCAGTTCATTCAGAGAGGTATAGTAAATGGCAGAAAAGCAGGTTTCAAGGCATGGCCAATGGTTACCGAACTCATTTCAGAGGCAAAGAAACAGCACTGGTGCACAGCGGCCTCTTCCTTCTGCACAGTCAGGGCTGCACACAAGCCCCATGGCTTATTTGGCTTTCAGGTATGGTTTTGCCTGGGTGGATGCCACCCAAAGGGCAATGGGGATGTGGGATCCTGATCAAGCACTGTTAGAAACCTCTGCTACTCACATAAAGCTCATTTTGATAGTGTGCTCTGGTTGAAATAACTTCCTCTGTTTTCCAGGTTAAAGATAATGTATTTTTATGCAGAACTTCTTGTTTGTCCATGTATATATTTTAGAAGTCTGTCATCTATGACTGTGTAAGCTTTATGTAACTTCTGTTCTAATCTAAAGGATTCTGTTCTTCTAAAAACTAATATAATATATAATATTGTAGGATCATTGGCACAGAAGCCAGGCACTTATTCTTCAGCTAGCTGTGATCTTTGCAAGGTTTTTATTTCTCTTCTGAATGGATTTTCTGAACACTACTTATCATTTTCAGAAGTCTCTGAGCAGGCTGTGTGCCATGCTGCCTGAGATGAGACTCAAGCCAGACTCCTGCCATGAGGGAGAATGGGCCCCAGGCGCTGTTGGGAAGAGAAGCACAACGGGAGAACTCAACTTCCAGTGCTGTCCTTGGACACTTGACTGCTTTCTGTGTGACTCATGGGGCTTTTTCCCCATCTGAGTGCTGCCCCTTGTTGGGTTGAGCGCTTTGTGGTGCAGGATCAGTTGTCAATCTGGAGCCTGAGCCTCTGCAGTTGCTCTCCTCAGTCTGCCTTTCCTTCGAGTACCCAAGGGGCAATGCAGGCAGCCAAACTCCAGAACAAAGCTCATTGAAGAACATGGAGTCTCGTGGCTCTGGCTTGTTGCCCTCACAGCGTGCTGGGATCACTGCATGGAGACTGTAAATTATATTGCTACACCACTTTAATTATAACCTTGCTTTCTCTTTAATATCTCAGCTGCATGTTTTTTTTGTGCTGCAGGACTCTGCCAATGATCAGCACTTCTCTTTCTCTCATCTTATTTCATGAACCTGGTTCAGGGTGCTTTGCTGAGTCACTTTTCTCTTGGTGACCCTGGGCAATGCTCTATTCCTAATTAAGAAATTAATCCGAACCAGTAAATGGGTTGCAGTCTCAGTCTAAGAAGTGAAGCATAATCATGGAGTTGTAATCCTAAAACTACTTAAAGTCCTGGTATATGGAGTATGTGGGATTTAAGCTACTGTGGTATACTTGGTGGGGAAGTTTTATGGCTTCTTTTATGAGGAGCGGGAAATATTTAGGTATTGAGGCCAAGTATAAGCTAGTCAAAATATGGTACATTTAGCCCTTGGCTTGACTGTCTGAGCCTGCTTCACTTGGCAAACCAAGGTTTTGCTGTTGTGTTTATAATTTGTTTTTCTTAGTGGCATTACTGGATATAATTAATTTTTTACCTTTTGTTTAGTTTCATCACTTCTGAATAAATGAAGAAAGTGACTATGAAAGCACAGCACCTACCTTCTGTTTCCGTCAATGAGGAGAAGTTCATAACCAGGTAAATGATTAAATGTGGGTTTTGTTTAATGACAATTAAAGTTAGTCCACACTTACTCATTAACAGGGACCCTGTAGGGAGCAGAGTCTGTAGCAGCAGCGATTCCTACAACTTGCTTTCTGTGAAGTGTTGACAGAACAAAATTCCCCTTCATATGGATTTCAGAGATCAGTGTTAAACCTTTGGTCTGTGGAATTTTGTTCATTAGGTAGAACAGCAGTCATAGAGGATCCTGAAATGAAATTTTGAGCTGGGGAATCAGACCTGCCTATCTTAGAAACCTCTTGGAGTTGAACATGAATTCCAGTGTTAAACCTGAGCTCCACTTGTCTGAGGCCCAGGTTTTGCTCTCCAGCCCCAGATGCAGAGTTCCTTTGCAGACAGAGCTGTGGGGCTGCCAGCTCTGTTCTGTGGTGAGTGAAATGGTTCTTTAGCCTGCTTGTGAAAGGCTCGGAATTGCACTCAGACTGTGCTTTGTGAGATGCTTCTCCACAGTTAAACCTGGCTGGTAGGAATTCTTCTTAACTGTTTCATAAACCCTGAGCCTCCTGGTGTAAGGTTCCATTGCTTTTTTAGGGGATTAATTTTTCCTTTGCTCACCAGAGCCCAGGAGCTGGAAGACGTGGCTCTTTTCTCACTTCACTTCCATCCCTCTTGATGTTCCTGTGGGAACACTGAAGCAAACTGTCAATACACCTGGGGATGGGCCTAGGATAGAATTTCTCATGCTGCAATATTGTGTTGGCATCTGAATCTTGGTACTCTTATATGTGTGGCCTGAACAGTGCTGTTGATTTCTCCCCTTTTAAGGAAGGGTGTCAGAGCTTTGCCCTAAGCAGGCAGGAGATAAATGCATCCCTCCCCTTCTCCTAAATAGTTGTTACCTTTATACTGCTGCTACTTTGGGACATACTGCTGTTGTGTCACAGGTAATTAGTCTGTGTGAACTTTCATCTACTTGGCATGCCAAACAATTAGGTAATGTTCTGGATAAGCCAGTGTCTTTGGGGCTTTCTTTTCCCTATGTATTTGTCTGTTGAAGTGGTGAAATGTGGATCCTGGTCAAGACCCTTCTGCATTACAGTCATGGTTGAAAGTACTCTCCAGGCTTCTTTGCCTAGTGAAAACACAAACAAGCATTTCAGTAATTGCTAATGTATTCCATACGCACTCAAACTTGCTTCCAGTGCAACTTCCAGGCTATCATCCCTCATCTATACCTTGGGCCTGCTGTTAGGTAACTCCTCTTCCAGTCGTATCACGCAAACCCTGCTGACACAGCGAGCCTGCTGTTTGGGAATTGCACAAGGGCTGTTTGAAAAGGCTGACCAAAGCATGGGGGATGATTTGGCTGGCTGAACTATTGTGTCTTTAAGTATAACCACCATAAATATTGGTGAATAAATGCATAGGGCTTGGGGGAGAACAGGGGAATTTGTCCTGGGTTAGTGTTTGCAGCGTTAGGGCACTTGACCTGACTGCTCCCTTGTCTTCTGCCTTCATTACTGGTGAAAGAGATGAATCTGCAGTAAATGTTACTTTTTTGGCTTTCTCCCCAAGTCCCTCTACCAGGGACTTGGCTTTGGCTTCCACTAATGGCTGCGTTTGGCCGCTGGCACAGCGCTGTGCTGTGAGGAACGGTCTTGCAACACAACAGAGCCACTGATTTTCTGGCAGCATAACTGAGGAGATGGGCATCTCTCTTGGTTAGAGCTGACTTTGTAGTGGAGATGTTACAGCAGGACTCATCCTGCAACTGCTAGGCTGGTGTGTGTGTGCGTGTGTGTCTGTCACTCCTTTCTGGGGCTAAAACAGTAAAGGGGTTTTGTTTTACTTCCAGTGTCTCCTACACAAGGACAAACAGGTCACTGTGAGCTGCTGTTAAACCTCTCCCTTGGGGCTCTTCTAATGGCTTGTGTGGTTCATCACTGCTGGCTGCACTAATGCGTGGCTGAAACCCGAAAATTTATTTGTGCAAACTTCTGTGTATGTTAATGGAAAGTTTATCTAGACAAGGCAAGAAGCTAAGTAAGAATCTTCAGAGCTTGCTTGAGAAACATAATCTGCTTCAGAGAGAACACTTAGCACATCACTCTGTGCTTTTACCTAGATTTGGTTTGCCTTTGCAGCCAGCATGGCCTAAGTGACAGCCAGCCCTCAGTGTGACCCAAGTCCTCACGTATTCCTCCTCTGTCTTACCTGCAAAAAGCTTGTCAATAAAATGATTGCTGGGAATATTAGGCTGCAAAGAATAAGAACTCTTAAGCATCTCCTAAGCAGGATCAGCAGGTCTGTCACAACATTTGTCAGACAAAACTACCTATCTCCTACTTACACGTTAATCTCATATTGCATCTGGATTTTGCCTTCGTATGAGGCCAACACATGCTTAATCTTGCTTACCTTCAACCAATGTAATCAAAATTTTGCTTGTACCTGATTCGTATCCGAGTCAATGAAAACTTTCCTTTTTGATGGGGTGACCTGAATGCAATCCCTTGTGGCTCAGGAGGCACAAAGGCCCTGGGAGGAGCTGTTCCAAGGCAGGAGGCAAAAAGGCTTTCACCAGCTGTGTTACTGGGGTTTAAGTTCAAAGTGACTTGAATTAAATGCAGAAAATGCTGTTTTGGAGCCCAGCACTCTTGGTAAAGCCACTTCAAAATGTATTTTTGGGAGTTGCAGTAGGTTAACAAAGTAAATAATTTACACACAGTGTTAGAAGGGAATGCAGTTAACCTGGTGGAGTTCAGTGCTGCGCAGTGTTGCGTGCCGAATAAAAGCTCTGTTTGTCTTTTCCCTCCTCACCAAGCACCAGGGCACTGCCAAGCTGCGTTTCTGAAGTGGAGCAAGGGAGGGATAGAGCTGTGTTGTCCAGTTGCCTTGTTTATGTTGAAATGGTGAGAGGTGGCTGGGACGCACAACCCTGGGGCAAGTCCCTGCTTTGGGCTCTCAGCCTGCAGGCAGCAGAGGCTGAAGATGAAGGAGGAGCAGGGGTGCTGTGAGCTGCAGAGGAAGGTGTAGGCTGCGGCAGTAAGGCGATGGCAGTGGGACAGGAGACACTTTGTGTCTGATTGATACACTTAGAGTCGTATGTAACAGTTTCCACCTACGTGATTTGTATTTCTTCGAGTAATACATGGCTTTTGAATACTTTCAGTGAGTCGCTGTGAAACCTAATGAGATGTGTTTGTAAATGCTATTTGTTTTGCTTGTGTTTTGGCTGTTACAGTATCTCATGCTAGACAAAAACCTGGAAGCAATAAACACTTTGGAAACAAACTTGGTGTTTTCACTCACCACTGCGAGATGGTACATGAAACCATTTTGGTTGTCAGTCATCTCATCTGGTGCTTACGTATTGTCTGAAGACAAATGCACACCTTTCTGTGCAATTGTTTGCCGTGCTTGGTTATCTCTGCTGGTGGAAATTGCTTTCTTGAGTTACAGCCTTTGCTGTTCAATTGGTGTGTGGAGGAGCATTTCATTTTTGTTAGTCCTGAACGCATACCCCTTAATTCTGTGTCTGTTTGGTTCTCCTTAACCTGAGCTGCAGTTTCCTTTCTTTCTTCATGGTTCATACCACCTATTGCTCCCCTTGCTCCTCTCTGGACTCGATGTCTCCTCTGACTAGTGCTGTGACCAGATCTGGCTGTGAGCTGGAATTCCAGCAGATTTGCTGCAGGACCATTCCCATGTGTATGTCTTCCTTTGGTGGTTCCTGTTCACCCGACATCCTGGCACTGTGGGCATCAGCAGCTGCTCAGTGGTAACTGAAGGTGCTTTTCGGCAGCCCATGTTTGTGCAACGTGGCATTTACTGCTGCTTATCTATTTACGGGGCTGTGCAGTGTCAGTGGTGTGGGTTGTGCCCAGCCCCGCTGCTCTTAGCGCAGGTGGCAGCAGTAGGGAGCTGGAGTTGTCCCCGTGCAAGGACTTTAACCCCCAGGATGGGGCAGGAGTGCTGTCTGTGCACCCACAGCCTGCTCGGGGCTTCAGGTGTTGAGTGCTCAGCCTCTGCTGGGATTGCCCAGGAGGTCTGGCAATCCTGTAGTTAAAATCCAGTTTGAAATGCAGGATGATGGGCAGGCTGCTGCTCCTGGCCTGTGTGCAGAGGTTCTCCACTTCCATCCTTTCTCCTCGGAGCAAAGACTCCATGCAAATCTGTTCTGTTTCAAGCAGAAAGGGCATTGTTTTGTCTAGGCAAACTGTAGACATTCTGAAATAGCTGAAGAAAACCCATAAAAACCCAGTGGCAACCATCATATGGGGAAAACACATTGTAACCTAACTTGCAACATTTGTGCATGGTGGCGTTGTTCCTGTTTGCTTCCTCCTCATAACTAGAACGAGTCCAAAGTACAAGTGATTCTAGAGTAGTGTTAATGTCACATCAGACTGTGACTAATTCATTGCCTCTGTGCTTTGGGTCTTTAGAGAAGCAGCTTATAAAGCAACCCAGTACCCTGACAAAATGTTACTCCTGGAAGTTGATTTATTAATCATTAATAAAACTACAGAAATTCAGTGTAACAGGTCCAGAGTGTTACCTGCCACTTAGCACCTGGATTTACAGTGCTAGAGATGTTTAAAAATCATTCTCTTCATTGTGATCTTTCATTCTAGAGAGCAGCTCAGTTCTCTCCTGAAGACTTACAACTCCTACTATTCAGATCAAGAAAATCTGCAACTGTCACATAACCAGGTAAGGATCTGTGCAAAAATAACACCAAAAGCACAGTGTAGGAGTCAAAGCACTACTGGGTATGGATGTTTAGTGCAGCCGGGCTAGAGAAAATGCTGGTAAGTGTAGCCCCAGGAATGCACCTCCTGTGGGGACCAGAAGGGCCTGTGGAGTGGGAGGACAGATGAAAACATGAGTTCTGTCTCATACCACAGAGTGCCTCGTGTAGAGGCTTGCACTTCCTTCTCCTTCGCAGGCTGCACTTCAGTTGTTTGGCTGCTATCAAGACCCAAAAGGACACTCAGAGCAAGTTGGGGCACAAATGGTCTGAAAAGGAGCAGTGCTCACTTCTCTGTCCCAGCTCATTCTGCAGTGACAGAGTTGGATGTCAGCAAGAGCAGGGACAGATAACAGGCTCTGGTCTAATGCAATGCCCTGCGTTGACATGGGCAGTTTCATTTACTGCTGCTTCCTCTCCACCAGCTCCTTCCCCTTCACCACTTTCCTAGCGCCCTGGCTGCAGAGGAGCTGCTCATCGAAGGAGAACAAATAGGATTTGATTTGTAATCACATGGAGCTATGGATGTGGTGGTTGGAAAACATCCTGCTCAGAGTCAGACCAATGCTGAGGCTTTGGCTGCTGTGGAAATATCTTATGGATGGAGATTACACAGCCTCTCTGGGTGCCCTGTTCCAGAGCTGTGTTGTCTTCAATGATTTCAACATATTCCTGTTAATTTGAGGGGAAATACATTATTTCATACTCTAGCATTGTTCAATTACTATGCAGCACTCCTTATTCTTTTTTTTTTTCCCCAGCAAGAAGGAGGCAGACCATTTCTTGAAGGAATCTTGACGATATTTTGGGGAGTCCGACATCCTATCCGGTTAAAAATTCAGGATGAGAAGCAGTTACCCTCTTTTGTAACCCTGAAGTCAACAGAGAATGTGGGCTTGTTCCCCAGCAAAAGGTAAGGTGTTAACCTCCACCAGAAGGAGCCAGGCTGGTATTTCAAGGCAACTCATGGAGGTTGCCTCAATGGATATGGCTGGTTGCATATCCCAGATACCCCAAAGGCCACGGCAGCCGCTTGCACAGCATTACTCTGTCTGGTGTAACTGGTGTGGTATTTCAACAGCTGCTGCTGCACAGGGAGATGCAGGTCTGTGGCACCTTTGGTGCATCTCTGTCTGGCTTTCAGCTTAAGAACAGTGGAGAAGATGGAGGTGGCTGCTCATGTCTATACTGACCATTCCCATGCACGTACTGGGAAATCTAGTGTAGAAAAACTTACACCACACCCTACACACACACTTACGTACTTACACCTAATGACATGGGGAGCTCCTGAAAGACCTTGTGTTGCTGCACGTGGTATAGCATGGAGCCAGAAGCTGGCAGATGAGTCCAGGGTGGTTGTGTCACAGGTTCCCTCCCAAGGGCCTTTGAGTGTGACACCAGGGCTGCTCAGGGCAGAGGCCAAGCCAGGAACAAATGCTGGTTGTGTGCATGCAAAATCTAATGTTAAAACACCTCAAATCCACACAGATCAGCTGCTCCCTCGGGCTGCTGCCTCTGACACCCCAGATTTGAGTTCATTGGGCTGCTGTCACTCCTGCTAGATATGCTCCGTATTAGAAAAATGGTGTAGGGGCTTAGAGCATTTCCTCTGTGTTGTGAACACCATTGCCCAAGCCTTGGTTGGTGAATTTGGAACTGCATCTGCTGAGCTGAGGCTGTGTAATGTGTAATAAGGAGGCTGAGCCAATGTTTACCCTGAAAGATTCCCCGATGAATTCTATATTTAAGAGCTCATTTTCTTAATTATACATTGTCTTAGATTGCACATGATGCATGTTTGAGTTATGGATTTAATTCTACCATGTGGTGTAGCTCCAGTGAATTCCTTATCTCCTGTGTTGAATTAAGAGGTGTAACCTGATGGCAGTAACCAGCAGAGAACTCGAGTCTGAGTCAAACCTGGGGGTCTCTGTTCACCTTGACCGGGTCTGCTGGCACGGGGTCCATGTGGGCTGCAGGACACCATCCAGTCTGGCACTGAGAGCTTAGCTTTGCCTTTTGTTTCTTATAAACATATGACTGGTGGAGATTTGCATCTTAAAATAAATACTAATTTGTGATGACAGAAGCAGGAAGCTGCCCTGACATGCTTTAAGGTATGCAGAGCAGCTTGGCTGTTTGATCTTTAATGAACTTTTTGAATGTGTGGAACAAAACTGAGATGGTTGCTTAGCATGTTCATGAGAGTTGGTTGAATGTTGTTTTGAATATATATAGGAAATGAATTTCTAAAATTTTCCTACAAATTGGTTTATTCTCAGTCAGAGCAGTAACTGGCCAGGGACTTTACCGCTAGAGATTGGGAAGTGAATTATGGAAACGTTGGCATAAAGAAACTTGGGATTTAAAACAGGCTGGGCTGGACTTCTGCTCTCCTGCAGAACTGGTTTGGGCAGCACGAGGGGCCCATAGGGTCATTTAATCTGCCCTGTCCCCATCTGTGTGACAGACACAGTGTGTCCTGTGACTGTTCAAACCATCACATGTGGGGTTGTTCTGTGTGCCTGCCTGGTGTCCTGCCTGTGACTGATCCATGGCATTGCTATAAGATAGATCAAGAATTACTGCAAACAATTTAAAGGACATCACAGTCAATGTTCAACAGGCTCTATACAGGACTGGGTTACATCTCGGGTCCCTGGCCATACCACACTCACTGAGTTAGTTTTATTATGGCATCAGCTGCAGTTACTGCCTTCAGTCACCACCATGAAGTCTGCAGTTTGTTCTGTCAAGTTTTGCACAGGGATAGGAAATGTGTTACCTGGAGCCTGGCTACAGCATAGGCTGAATTCCCTGCGCTAATGAGGAGCAGTCAGCTGTAACTGTGTGTTTGGCATTTCAGGGGAATGACTCGCTGGGGAGAGTTTGATGATCTGCACCACATCAGCAGAGAGACCCTGAAATCTACTGAAGAAGAGCCGGACCTTGAGAAAAGTCAGTGTTGTGCTCTTATGTTCACTAAAGATTCCTTAGTTCTAGAAGCTCTGTGACTGGCAGAAATAATCTGACGTGTCTGACCTTCCCTACCAGTAGAGGGAAATGTTTGTCTCTGTACAAGTCTGTTGAGAGAGCACTGAAACACTGGCACGACTGGTTAGTGAGAACATTGCTGTGCAGGGAACTTCTCAAACAGCCAGTGCTGACAGGCCGTGCTTTCACCAAACAAATCATTCCCAAAAGTGAACAGAAGGGCAAACGGTGGCTGCTGCAGCCAGCCTGGTGCTCTCAGTCGCATGCCCATGCTCTGCTCCTCTCCCACTCACCCCAACCACATAAAAATAATAATAATTAAAAAAAATCCCTCCACCTGAGACCTTCTTGCTGTGGAGGTGCTGGCAAGGAGCAGAGCAGCAGTAAAATGCACTGGTGTGGTTTCATGTTGTCCAGGTTATTTGCATTACGAAAGCTGCACTCTGAAGGCCCAGAGCGAGCAGGAACTGGACTCTGCTCCTCTCCCACTCACCCCAACCACATAAAAATAATAATAATTAAAAAAAATCCCTCCACCTGAGACCTTCTTGCTGTGGAGGTGCTGGCAAGGAGCAGAGCAGCAGTAAAATGCACTGGTGTGGTTTCATGTTGTCCAGGTTATTTGCATTACGAAAGCTGCACTCTGAAGGCCCAGAGCGAGCAGGAACTGGACTGCGCCCCCCTGCCCCGGGCCATCGGCAGCGCTGCCGCTGTGCGCAGGAGGACCAAGCTCCCCATGATAGCGAGGACCGAAGTGGAGACCCACAGGTTTTCAATTAACGGCCACTTCTACAACTATGAGGTATGAATGTTCGTGCTTGTCTTGCTTCATTTGAGGCTGGGTACTGGGACGTGTAAAAATGTCCTGTAAGTTTCTGGCCTCCCCTGCACCCCTTGGCCAACCCCAGAGCTCCCCCTGTGCAGCCAGGCCTGTGTCACTGGGCCTGGGGCTCAACTCCAGGGGTCTGTTTTTGGGGCTACCCCAGAGGGTTTCACGTAGGCACAGGGAGGGGGGTGTGCAGGAACCACAGTGGCCGTACATTCCAAGGGGCTGCTCTCTTCTCCTGGGGACACCACCCCCTCTTTGGCTGATGGCAGGAGTGGCAGTGACACCCAACAGCCTTCCTGGACCCAGGGCTGGGCTGGTTTGGAGCCTTTGGAGCCATTTGGTTCAGGAGTCCTCATACTCATGCCCTTCTGCTGCTGTTTTGTGTTCCTAGACATCCGTTTTTACTCCAGCTTACGGATCAGAAACCAAAATACGAATAAACAGCCAGATGAGAACTCGCCAAGTCATAGAGCAACTGCTGCGCAAGTTCAAGGTAACTTAAAGCATGGCCGTGTTGTAGGAATGGGAACACAGGTGTCACACCAGAGCTGTGTGCAAGGCAGGAGATGACTGGTGTGGAACAGAGCATAGACAAAAGCAGTTGTAAGAAATGGAGTGGTTTTATTTTACAACCCTCACAGCTGTTTGAGCCTAGAAAAGGTGTATGGGGCGTGGGGTTTTGTAAGAACTAAGAAATCACTTCTGTATAAACCCACCCACAGGAGGGGAAAGCCCTGCTGCACCCTCAGCATTTCCCAGTGGAGGAAGGATGCTGTTTAATGCACGTGGCCGTGCTTCCCTCTAGTGATGGCCTTCATACATGGATTTTGCTTGAAACAAGGGGTTTCTGTTTTACCCGAGTGTCTGGGATGTGCGTTCCCTTACACCCAGGCACATGGAAAGCTTTGAAAAGTCAGAATTCAGAACAGTGCTCGAGATCAGTGCCACAGTGTCTGAAATTACTTCCTCCCTCCCTCCTTGTTGTTTTCATGCTATCTTCCATTAAAATGATGGTACCTGGTCAGGAATATATTTATTAGTGCTGTGTGTTTCTCCAGTGCCTTTATTCTCCACAGCTTCTTAGTGTGCAATTCTTGATAATTCTGCGTTTAGCTTGGCTAGAGACCTTGCTGGTGCAGAATGACTTGGTATGGTTAGTAAGACTTGCTAGTGAAATGCTACAGGGAGAACTCTGCTTCTGTGAGTAATAGCAATGAATGGAGTCACTGAGCAGGTTGTGAAGTTGTGAAGAAGTTGGAAAACAAGTGTTCAATAAGACTGCTGTGTTGTCGTTGTGGTTGTGCAGCCAAGTGGACAGGAACAGATCAGGGTTTTACCCGAATGCAAATACTCATGGTAAGTCTGATGGTTGCCTGAAGTGAAGGATGCTCCAAGGAAACCAGACTGGAAAGATGTGGTGTTGGCTAAGCTGGAACGTTACTGATTTGGCCAATGTGAGCAATCCTGAGGTAGTGGGGTACAGAGCCAATGAATGTGGCAGTGGGGCTTTGTAGCTTATCCAAACCCAGCATCTTTTACCTTTTCCACAGGCAGGACCCCAGTCTCAGACTTGGAGGTAAATATCTGAGTTGACAAGCACAGAGTAGCTGATGGCAGGGACATGCCAGGCAAGTGCATCAGCCATCTCAGCAGCCTTTTCTGGTTTGTTTCACAGATAGAAAACAGCCCGCACGAGTTTGCGCTGTACATCATCCATGCGTCCGGAGGTAAGCCAGGCTTCATTGCTTCACCTGCAGTTATCTTCTGTGCGTGGGTGTGCAGAGCACTCCAGGTGCTCTTCTGCTCCAGCTCACGCTGTGCACAGCCGCGCTGCAGTCGTGGGATGCCGGGCTCCAGCAGGAGGTGTTGTGGGATGCCGTAGTTGGCAATTTGGGTTGTGGGCCTGGTTCACAGATGCCAAGTTAAAAGTACTCATTTTTTAGTGAAAAGTGTTGTTTAGCCTATTCTATTGCTTGAGGAAAAAAGAAACTGTCTTTATTGAAAGTAATACCTGAAAGAAAGCGAGAGAGAAGTGATGGGTGTGTACCTTAAATGTCAAATAGGAAGTTGAAGTGGTGGTTGAAAAGCATACACTATTTTATGAAATACAGGGTCTTTGTCAATACCAAGACCACTGCTGGTGTGAGGCATTTAGAGACACTGTTGTGTGTTCTGTGCATCACAACATTTCTTTTAAACCCCAGAAAAGAAGCAGCTGAGGAGCAGAGACATTCCCTTACTGCACAGACTCCTGCAGGGACCCTCGGAGGAAATTGCCAAGTTTTTCCTCATGGACCGGGATGTGGAGGAGATCAGCAGTGACGTACGTGGGCCGTCGGTTCTAACGGTTCACTGCACTGTTCCCAGTTGGCTTACTCGCTGACGTGCGCTTCTTGTCTTGCTAGGTCGCTCAGTATATTCAATTTCATCTTCCCTTCTTGGAATCAATTCTGCAGAGAATAAATGAAGCAGAAGAGCAGGAGATTCAACAAACAGTTGCAAGGTAAATGTAATTAGTGGTGTTGCTGTCAGCCCAGGAGAATGTTTACATGACGGGCTGGCTCAAGAGGTGAAGGTATTTGTGCAGCAGAGAGCAGTTAATGCTGAGATCTCACTACCTGAGTGAAACTCAGTGGGGTTTCTAGTCTTTTCTATGCCCTGCATCCCCAGCTGAGCTGTTGCTGTTGAATATTCAGAATGAATACTGGACTGCATACACATGGGGGAGCTTTCCAGAAAACTTGGACCCTCTGGTCACTTGGGTGGTGCTTTGTTTGTCTTCTGAGCTGTACACCGGTTCCTTGGTCTCTGCTGCTATTGATTTCCTTGGGTACCTCAGCAGGTAGCACAGCATTTCACCCAGATTAGTGCCAGATTCTTAATGTCCCTGTACAACTTCACCCCTGGTTATTGGTGTCTGTTCTGGTGGCAGCAAAAAATGCACCACAAGTACAAGCCAGAAATGCACCGGTATTTCTGGATGTGTACCTGAGACCCAAGGTCAAAAGCAGTGAGAGTCTCTACCAGATCTGGCTATTTTACCAGATAAACATCTGGGGATCACTTAGAAACAAAGCGGCAGGGAAAATTAAAGAAAACAATAAACAGCCATTGCAATCTGCTGTAAGAAAAGCTTCATGTCAGCGTTTTTTTCAGCCATTCCACTAACATGTTAAAATCTGGGTTGAGTTTTTGTGGCATTCTGTGTTACTTTAATGCATTCTGTCTCTCTCTCCATCTGAGGTACCTGAAAGAGAAGAGCTTGATATGCCAGCACCTTCACAGTCGAACTGTCACAAAAACGGAGACCACAGTTTGACGGGAACGTGGCCCCAGCACCGCCTCTGCCAGGGGCAGGCCCTGCCTTTGCTGGGGCTGGAGGGCACTGGGAGCACAGGGGGTGCAAAGCCTCTCCTCGTAATTCTGCAACCCAAACTGAACCCGCTGTGCTGCAGCCCTGGAGCAGGGGTTGGGAACCACCTCAGCAGATGCACTGAATCCCCCAAAAGACAGATGCTGAATTGTGCTAGAAACTGCAGACGGGAAAGAAGCACAAGGCTTTGAACCACACTCATTTCCAAACCACTACCAGAAGTTGAGCATCTAAGGAAAATATTGCAGTAACCACTCTGTTAATCATCCAGAAAATAAGAAAGTTATGTACATGGCTTTCCTTCTCCTAGAGAAATGCTGAATTATATTAGGAGGAAGCTTTTCAGTAGAGCTAACTGGCAAAAGGTATTTATTTATCTGAGGTTGCAGTTCGGCTTTTTACTGCCCTTACAACAGTAGCTGTGCAAGAGAAACTCAAAATCCCAGTGGCTTCACACAGGTAGATGCCTGACTTGCCTAAGCTTTGAGCTGCAGTTTGAGAAATACAAGTGGAAACCCTCCCACTGTATAACTGCTCAGCTCTCGAATGTGTGAGGGAATTTATGTCTGCAGCCTCTTGAATTGCAGTGTAAGAACTCACTGAATCCTGCTGCGTCTGCTTGACTGGGGCCTGCGAGGCACCACAGCATTTCGTTGTTATCAAACAAATGATGCTGTGTTCATTACTTAATTTTCTATTTGGAGATGGAAATGAGAGGAGTTCAGTGGGACAGCACTGGTGGAACAGCAGAGCCATGGGAGGGTCGGGTTGGTGTCCTGCCTGCAGGTGGAGTCTGTGGCCAGCACAGCAGCCAGGAGCCAGCGGTGAGTCCCAGCTGGCTGAGCTGTGCTGGACAGGAATGCTCCAGTTGTAGAGATGTAAATAAAAGCCAATTTGTGCACAATTAATTGCTCTCCTGTGTTAGTTTGTCTCTTTTACGTGGTATCTGTGTGTTGCCTTGCCTACATTTGGCTTATGCAGATAACAAACAAGCAGGAGGGAATTGATGTGCAGGGCTGAAGTAAGGTCCTGTGAGCCACTGACCCTTCCCCAGGGACCCACGCAAACACAGACTGGCCCTAAAACACTGCAGGTAAGGCTGAGTTTGCCAGGGCTCTCTTGTCAGACCATGCAGGCTGCTGGGGCCTGAGCGCTGGGGAAGTGAAGCTGTGACCTCACTGTGGTGGTGGTGCTTTGGAAATGCTGTGGTCATTAACACAAATGAAATACAGACACAGAGGGGAAGAATTTATTCCAGAGCATGGGTGGACAGTGGAGGTAACACAGCCATGAAAAACAGAGGTGACAGAGGGAATGGGAGTCACTTTTGAATTTGGAGCCTAAGACATCTAACAAAAGCAGCAGAGTATAAATCTTACCTGCATTTGTGCTACCAAGCTAAATCATCATTGGATTAAAAACAAAACAGAAAACACCACCAGAACACCCCAACCCAAACCACTCCCAAATTCCAGAAGACTGACCTTGGTCAGAACAAAATTCAAAGCAAGCACAGTGCTAAGAGAAAAACCTTAGATGCTAAGTTAATAATTTGATGGTATTACGAGCAAATTTTAGTTCTGATGCTCCAGTAAAGTCCTTATCAGAGGTGAGGAAAATGAGTGATGTGTGTGATGCTTCTGGCTTTGCTGTTGTCATCTGTTTACACCCTCATTAGCCCTTAATTGGCAGCTGAGTGCTGGTGACCTCTTGCTCGTGAGCTGTTGTAACTGCACGAGGAGCTGTACAACTCTGTAAGAGTGGTTTTCATGTACTGCGCTTGTCCAGCTGCTTCATCGTACCCATGTCATACCTTAGACTTGTCCTCACAGCTCCCCTCGAGCAGCCCGTGTCAGTGAGTAAATGTGTACTATTTCAAGGACAGTGCTATACAAATGCAAAAATAATTATGTAGGGTTTGAAAAACAACTTAGAAGTGGTTACAAGCAGATTTTTTTATTTGATCTCATTTGCATTTATGTTTTGTAGGCCTAAGATTTAAAACACCTTTTTTTTCCTCACTATCTTATTTATTTTCCTTACTATTTATCTTATTTACTAAGATACGATGGTGGTCACATCTAAGCTGTGAATTTCTATTTAACTTATTCTTTCAGCAGATTTCTTTTAAGCAAGCACCCTCTGTCTGGACGTGAACTGGGTCTGCATTACTTTGGTTTAAATTTGACATATCCGTGATCATTTTGAAGCAAAGTGACAGGAGCCAGATACGAAGCTTGTGTGCGGGTTTCTCGCCGTCTGACAAGGAAAGCTGAGCCCTGTGCACAGCCCAGCCCTGCTCCGCAGCCCAGCGGGTGCTCTGAGGGACTCTGGTGTTTCATTGAGGCACCTCTGCTGTTCACAGCTGCTGCAAACCCCCGTGACTGCATCAGTTTGGGAGTAAAGAGCCCCAGCACCCACCAAGACAAATGTGTTCCCGGTTACGTTTCAGGACTGTTTACAAAGGATAACTGCTCACAGCTCGGTTTGTGTGACCGCCTATCGTTCAGCAGAAGTTTTCCAGTCTGCTACGTGAGCTTCTCATGCTGACAACATTTTTTCACTTCTTTGTATGAGTTCTGGACCCTGGAAAGAAAAGCAAATGTGCGTGAGCATGAGAAATCAGGCAGATGATGTACCCGTGAACAACTTACCCCGGCACGGCAGCAGTAAGTAGTGCTTCGTAATCTTTACAGCGTGCATTTCAGGTATTGCGCGTGCAGAATGCAGATACGTACCTCGCTACGTTTAATACACGTTTTGCTTTTACTCTGTAGCTCACATTGCCTTAGAAGGTTTGGTATTTGTCCAAAAAATGGTGGGATACAGTTCTGTTAGGAAGGGTCAGTAGGATGGTGCTCTGCAGAGAGAATCCTGCGAGGATTCAGAGGCAGGAAATTCTTCAAAAAAGAAAACTTTCTGTATTTTGTCATTTGAAGCAATAAAGGCAAAGACTTTGGAAAAGAGAGAGCAAGGCTCAGGGGTCGTGAATGGTTTGTTAAAGTGCAATTAAGGAACAACAGCAGAGACAGAGACGAGGAGCAGGAGAAAGCAGATTTACTGGAGGTGAAGAGAACCAAAGCAGCTCTGCAGTGTGAAGTTCAGGGAGCTGAAATAACAGAGGAAACAGGCAAACAGTGAGGGAAATAAATAGGGAAAATGCCTTGTCCTACAGTTTGGAGCGTCCTTTCCTTAGTGCAGAGGAACTCGTAAAGAGAAATTGGGTTAAGGACTGTTAGCCAGGGGGAGCCCCAGTGACTCCTCTGACGCAGCTGAGCTCTGCATCGCTAAGTTGCTACGTATAATAAACACCAGATTCATGAGGTAAGCTCTGTGGTGGTCATTCAGCTGGTACCCATCTCTGGCTGTCCTGGGAAACACAGCGGCAGGGATTCTGGCCGGTCACGCTTAGTGGAGCGCTCCTGTGTGTGCTCCACACTTGTGTTTTGATTGGGCACGGATAGGTGAAAACAGACACTACCTCTTTCCCGAAACACGCCTCAGGGCTCTCCTCTTTGCAGCACCGTTCCCGCATGGCGGTGAAGGCAGCCGTGACGGACGTCAGCTGCTCCTGGGAGATCTGGGGCTTGTGCTTGATGAGGTTGATGAGCATCCTGCAGAAAAGCAGAGCAAGCCCTGTGAAAGCGGGAGGTGAGCACATGGCTCAGGAAGCTTCTGAGCCCTGATTCGGCCATAAAGGGGATGCAGGCCTTTGGGCAGCAGCTTCCTTGCTCTTCTGGTGTCTCTTTATGCAGTTCCCATCCAGGGCAGTGGGAGGGGAAGCTTATCAGACCTAACGTGGGACACCTATTGCTCCCATCCTGGCCGTGTATGTGACAGGGCAGCTCCCCCCCTCTGGAAATGACTTCCTTCTGACCTAAGGCAGTCAATAGAGGTTGAAGCAGATAGCAGAAGAAACCAAGGGCAATGTGAGAGTAAAGAAATGTGGCTTGGAAGAGGGGCTGGGCTGGAGCGTGACTGTGTATTGCAGAACAAGGCCAGAGTGGATGAGGGCAAGGTGAGCACTGCCAGGATGATAATAAGAAACACAGGGGTAACAGAGTAAAGCTGTCGTGTCTTACTCCTGCTTCTTGTGCTGTAACTTCTCCTCTTCGGTTGTGCACAAGTCCTCATGGAAGGTGAAGAGGCCAGGAGTCAATGACAAGGGCACGTAATTCTCGTCCAGTTCCAGTTTGCCCATGCAGGGCCTCCTGAGAGCGTAGGAGCTGCTGCAGCAGTGGCAAACGCCTGGGTTTATAGGATTGCTCAGGTGTCTTGTACAAATCTCTCCAAGCACGAGGTCCAGCTTTACCAAAAGAGGTGGAAAAAAACCCCCAATTTTACATTACTGTTTCATTTTCAGAAATTCCTGAAACATGTGCTGCTTTTAGTGGCGTTACGAAAAACAACTGAGCATTTAAATTAAACCTTGTATGCAATATAGGTAACAGGTAATTGTTCTACTGAATTCTGACTTTTGTCACTGAAAAACAGCTCAGACTTTTAAGATTAAATAAGTGTATGCAGGTTTAGGGACTATCCTTTGCACATAGAAATGATTTCTTCATAAAACCATGCTTGCCCTTGAGGTGTTTCCACCAGCAGCGTTTCCGTGGGTATGTTTGGCTGTTCCTGTGACTTGTTCTCAGTGAATATTTTTCTCATTTACCCTTGCTCCAAGCCCTCAGCCCCTGCTGGCAGCAGAATCGGTGGCAGTTTCATGCAGAAGCAGGACCAAGATAAGGAAGAAAATGACTCACGTTTTCCTCAGCACAAGGCAGAAGCTTGTCCTGGCTTAACTGGCAGCACTTGGAGCCGATTGTAGTCATTTGCTTGGTGAATTTGATCAGCTCTGCAGACGTGAGCTGCGGCATCTTCTTGGTGAAGCTCAGGAGAAGCCTGAAACGATAATTTTTTTGATACTGGTGTGTTTGTCCCTCCAGGCAGCAGTGGGGAAGCTGCGTAAAGCTGCAGCCAACCCCCACAGAAGAGTTGTGAATACGAGGGCAGGACGAAGCCTGGTGTTATGAGCTCAGGTAGACAAGGGTGTGTGTGCTCTGCTTCTTTGAGCTCTTTGCTTTTGCTGACCAGTCTCTTACCAGGTTAAACAAAGACAGTTAATAGTAACATTGCCAGTTATATGTTGGTGGCCCTCTTCCGAGATGCTGCATATGTTTTACCCAACATTATTTATTTCCCTGGGAGTGTAGGGAGCTTGTCTAGAAGCAAAAATGAGCCTAAGTGGCCTCTTGGCAGACTGGGCGAGGGCGGAAGATAAAGCACAAAGAAGTTAACTTTTTCTTTTTTAGAGGGAAAACCTGAACAACTGCTGGGATGGACAAAAGCAGCCCACCAGCTCTGCTGGAAACCTCTACTTCCAAAGGTCTTTGAAAGATCAAACGTGCTCGGGAGTACAAAAAGCCCAACACATCGCCCCAGAGCAGCGAGCTGGAGCCCGACTGTGAGTATGCAGCGGCTCAGAGACCTCACTGGGATTGTTTGCATACTTCGTCAGGCCTGTGCTCATTACCATTGCTAATCAGGGCCAAGCTGCTCCAGGAGGCTTGCGCCCGCACGCTGCGGTT